TTCAGGGTAAGCCTATTTAGAGTCATCCATCTTCTTATACTTATCATTTCACTGTTTGTGGAGTTGATCAAATCTATAATGGAGTGCCCCGAAGCGTAACAGCAAGTATCATCAGCATAGAGAGTGAAGCTCAGACAGCTCGCATTGACAATATCATTGATGTAAAGAAGAAACAGAATGGGTCCCAAGATGGAGCCCTGTGGGACTCCATGAGCGATAGTTCTTTTAGAGGAGTTGCAGTCATTGAAAACTACATACTGTGTGCGGTTTGACAGATACGAAGCGAACCAAGCATGTACACTCCCTTTTATACCATAATGGTATAATTTTTCCAAAAGAATTCGATGGTTGACCGTATCGAATGCTTTGGAAAGGTCTAAAATATAGCAAGAGTAAATTTACGACCATCAAAAGATTTTAAAGTTTCATTTGTGAAGTCTGAAACCGCTAATTCAGATGATTTGTTCTTCAAGAAACCATACTGACAATTGTTGATTATATCATTTGCATAAAGAAAATCAGTTAATCTAATGGACATGATTTTTTCAAAGATTTTGCTAAAAGCTGTTAGTATGGAAATTGGGCGATAGTTATTAAGGCAGGGTGCCAGTCTTGAACATGGGATGAACTTTGGCAATCTTAAGTTTCGTGGGAAATACTCCCATGCTAAATGATTTAGTGATTACATGTTTCAGGGGCTTGAGAATGCAAGGAAGTATTTTCTTAATAATGTTGATGGGAATGCAGTCGTCCCCTGGAGAGGAAGTTTTAAGGCCATTAACAACATTGATGATGTCTCTGTCTGTTATCGGAGTCAGGCTCATGGTTGTTGTTGGAGGGCCCGAGAAATTCTTTAAAGTCTCCATCCACATTAGGGGTTAATCGTGACAGATTTTCGCCTATGTTTGTAAAATATTTGTTAAATTCATTTGTAATGACGTTTGGGTCATTGATTTCTTTCTCATCTATTAGTACTTTGTCATTTTTTGTTATTATTCCTGTGAAGAACATCATTTAGAATTTGCCATGTCTTCTTAGTGTCACCTGCACTTTGATCAAGCTTCATTTTGTAATGATCTGCCTTTGCCTTCCGAATTGTTAGTTTTAAGGGGTTGCGAAGAGACCGAAATGTCTCGCCGTAGGAGAGTGGCCACTTTGCATATTTCTTTTGAAGTTTGTTTTTTTCTTTGATTTAAGTTTCTTATTTCACATGTAATGTATGGTTTTAAAGGACTTGGATTTTAGTGACTTACATTTTAATGGAAAAATCTTTCAAAGGGGATAAAAAGACTAATGAAATTTTCATAGGCAACCTCGGGATTGTGAGAGGCAAACACGAGGTCCCAACATACTTCTGTAAGGTGGCTTTTAAAATTGGTTATATTGGATTCTTTATAGTCGCGATAGTAAAATGTTTTCTCAGTTTTAGGTTCATTATGTTGTAATTCTAGGTTAAAAGTACTAAAAACAGGAAAATGATCTGATATGTTGCAGTATATAACCCCACTTGCTTTCAATTTTGGTAAAAAATTTGTCCAGATATGATCTATTAAGGAGGCAGAGTTTCCTTGAACTCTAGTAGGCTTGGTGACTGCTGAGAAGAAGAGCCTAGAATTAAGGGTGGAGACGGTTTCCCTGACTTTGTTATCAGAGTCGGCCTTGAGGAGGTCTAGGTTAAAATCCCCACTGATGAGACACTTGTTTTCTTGAGAGGCAGTCTCGATTATTAACTGAATCTTTTCCAGAAAAAGAGAGAAGTTACTTTTTGGGCGCCTATACAATTGCCCAATCAGTAAGCTCTCGTTGTTAATTGTTATTTCAGTAAAAATTGACTCAATGAAATCTTCTTGGAAAGATAGGTCAGCTCTACCACGAGAGGAAAATCTGTCATGAACATAGAGGGCAACGCCCCCGCTGTTTCTAGAGTGGTGCGAGAAGTATGCATGGTAGTCGGGGAGTGTGAAGAGGTGTTGAATGTCTTGAGTGAGTCTAGTTTCAGAGAAACCTATCACATCAAAACTATTCGGATGTAGACATTGCAAAGTAAATTCATCAAAATGATTGGGTAGGCTACATATGTTATGGCTGATAATAGACAAGTGAGTCATAGATGCACTGTTAGAAGTAATAGAATCAGGAAAGACGTAAGAACAATTTGGATTTATCACGTTAAGCAAATTAGATACGAAATTATCTGCTCCTAGAGAATCAAAAGAATGAAAATGGTCATCAGAGGCGTCGATTTTAACGTTATGAAATGATCTTGATTCTAGTACTTCTAAGCTAATAACCTGGGCGACATTATCGGAAGTGAATACATTCGATAAAGCATCATCATTCAGATCTTGGAAAGGAAAAGTGAATGCACAATCCATATTGAATTAATAAAATTAGGTACGTGGTACAGATTTGTAAATTACCAGAAACGGCATCACTTCTTATTTCTCAGACGCTGGCTGACGGGACTAAATAGGGGTGGGGGGCCAAGGGCCGTGGCTCCCACAGGAGATCTCAGCACCGTCGAGTAGGAGTGTCGTGCGGGTGGCGGGGTGTTAAAGCAAGGACCCGAAGGGCGCTGCATCAGGGGTGACGGCGCGTCAGACAGCGAGCCGGGGCGAGGACGGGACTGTAGCGGAGTGGGCAGCCTTAGTGGGTCGAAGGCAGTGCCTGGAGGCGGCATGGGGAGGGCTGAGTCAGGAGGGGCGCGAGGACGCTGGCGCTCGGTTACAACCAGCTTCCTGTAGCTGAAGAAGGCGTTCTTGCCCTCGCTCCTCGCCTGCCTCAGCTGCTCCAGCTGATCCTTCCGGGCCTTGATGGTGCCTGCGCAGAAGTCTTCGTTCACGAACACCCTGCCAGGAGCATTCTTAAACTTGGCTTTATCCTTGAACACTGCCTCGCGATCCACGAAACTCGCGAATTTGGCCACGATGTCTCTGGGCCTATCGTGAGTTGGGCGGCCCACACGGTGGGCGCGTTCGATCTGGCGTGATGTGGAGGTGTTTGTCGCAGCAGGTCTGATAGTTTCCGCTGGCACATCTCCCAGGTCTCGCCGCGCTCCTCCGGGATGCCCGAGAATCGTAGGTTATTGCGACGTCCCTGGTCGTCCTGGTAGTCCAGCCGCTCCGTCATTCTCGCCAGGTCGCTCTTCAAGTCGGCGTTCTCCCTCGACAGGGCACTCAAGCGGTCTTTCAGTTCCTCGGCACCGCGCCTTGCAGCCTCCTCCCGTGCCTTGAGATCCTCGATTTCCTTGTGGGCGAACTCCAGACTTCGAATTGCCTCGCCCAAGCGAGAGCTGAGGTTCTCGTTCTGGAGAGACATCTCGCGCTGGATTCGCTCCAAGGCTTCGCCCAGTAGCTTGCTCTGTAGGTCGATCAGACCGTTCACTTCTGCGCGGGTCAGGGACGGCGAATTGATGGGAGAAGGTCGACTGGGTGGCATCGTGCAGCAGAGCTCGTATCACCTGGTTCACAGGTGAAGTTTGTTGGCACACTGGATAGAGCAGTAGGTGGCGCGGCAGGAGGCGCAGCAGAAGGAGCAGAGGGTAGTGCGGCAGAGAGGAGAGGCAGCGAGGGCTCCGCGAAGAAGAGGCTCACAGGAGAAATTTGTTGGCACACTCGATAGTACAGCAGCAGGGGCAGTAGGTGGCGCGGCAGGAGGCGCAGCAGAAGGGGCAGAGGGTAGCGCGGCAGAAGGGAGGCGCGCGCAGGCTCAGCGATGAGGAGCGAGGCGGGTGGCCGTTGAGGTAGAGGGGGGGGGGGGTGCAGGGCAACAGTTCGTTAGCGTGGTGATGGGTCGAGAGCTGGGTAAGGTCACGTGACTTTGTTGTGCGCATGCGCAAACCGGGCAACACGATTCGAAGGGGGTGGGGCGGACGATTTTCAAATATCAGTGCAAAATTTTTCTAAGTCCACACAAAATTTCTTAAGCCCAATATCGTGTCAGGACGATCACTGTAACTTCCTTTACTCACAGGTGATGTTGGAGACTGTTTGTGACCTTAACTCTCGAAAAAGCTACCAAATCACCGAGCAACAAGCAAGCGTGACTGCCGTTGACAGAGGGAAAGGAAAAAAAAAAAAAAAAAAAAAAAAAAAAAAAAAAAAAAAAAAAAAGCATATAAAAGCTGATCCTGCTTCTCCAGACTGTTGGTTCACAGAGCCATCTGTAAAGAGTGCAGCTGTGTTGGGTTGACTGGCAAGGGAGAGACAGTAATTTCTGGCTCTGGTGAAATCAGACTGTGAGCAAAGAGTCTTGGCACATGGAAGAGTATCTAGGACAAAGGAAATAGGAAGTGGGTTCCATGGCGGGCGTGGATTGAACTGTCTGTGGGGAGCATCAATTCCTCTGGCTTTGATTATCGGCCCGGGCGCCGGAGCTTAAGTGGGGCTGAGCTGTGCCAGCCACCCGGGAACGAGAGGAGCCTGCGGTCCAATGGGCGAGCCATAAGGTGTCCGGTGTCAACCAATCAGGTCTCGGTATGCGTCTTTGAGAAGCTGCTGATGGTGGGGGCTAGAGGACAGGCTGTGGACCTGGACCCAACCTGGGGGAAGCGAACGCTTGGGCATTATATCTCGGAGTGTCATGTGATACTGCCTTTCAGACCACCTAACATGACGTATAAAGAACTATGTGATTATTTTAAAGCATCTGATACATTGGAAGATATACTCATGTCATATCCTAATTTTACTAAAACTGTCATAATCATAGAATACACCACAGATCACTTTTATGTAAACACATGGGCAAAGGTAGATTAACTTAGGTAATATACGTTTGCATGCTGTATTATTCCGAAAAAAATAAAAGGTGGTGTCATCTCACATGAAATTTAATAAGCTTTCAGAAAAGAACCTAATATTTTATTATCTCTAATTATTACGTCACAATTATCGATTTTTTAAGGTATGGTGAAAAAAAATATTTCGGTCGACATCGAAAAGGGCTGCTACCCTAAGATACAACGGTCGGGCCTTGAAATTTTCTGAGGAGAAGCGGCGGCAAAGATTATATACTACGACGGCGGCCCTGAAACTACTTGAAAATGCATTTAACTTGATTTCGACAAAAAGGACGAAAAACGACGAAAAATAGACGGTCCCCTTAAATCATGAAAAAGGCAATTACTGTATAAGGCAAGTGTGCTATAATTAATACCTAGTAATCATAGTTACATGGTTATAAATCTCATAAACTACCACGATATCCGATTCAGTTTTGAGAAACCTTACCCTTTGATTTGCGCAAATGCTGTAAGACAAAACCTTACATATTAAGGAAAATCTTGAGATGCTTTGAATTACCAAATAGGTCCTCTTCAAAGAAAAATTGGAACAGTACTAACATTAGAAACACATGACAAATACAATATGATAATGAAAATATATATATATAACATTTCAGATCGAAAAAAAAATATAAAAAGCTCTAAATTTAAATCCAAAGGAATGCAGGTCAGCAATACCTCGCATCTTTTCTCTGCGTGTTTTGTGGCCTCAGTACGAAGTATACTTAATAAAATGACCTAGAGCTGTAAATCACAAGTATAATCAATCATTCATCATTATCTCTATAATACCTATGACGATTC